AAGGGTTGCCGTCTCTCCATAAGCACAAGGTATAAGTGGGAATCTGTGTGTAAATTTTTAGCATGTTTATATGTGGTGGCTGGGTTCAACTTCCTAGGTGGCATCATTTGCCATGGGCTCTTGGATAGAAAAGGTTTCTGTCTATCTATAAGCACAAGGAGTCGGTAGGATTCTGTGCATAAATTTTTGACATGGTTATATATGATGGTTGGGTACAACTTCCTAGGTGGCATCATTTGCCATGGTGCCATGGACACTTAGATAGAAGGGGTTTCCGTCTCTCTATAAACACAAGGAATAGGTAGGATTCTGTGGTTTAATTTTTAAACATGGTTATTTTTGGTGGCTGGGTACAATCATACTGAGGTGGCATCATTTGCCATGGGCACTCGGTTAGAAGGGGTTTTCCTTCTGTTTATAAGCATAAGGAATCACTAGGATTCAGTGTAATAATTTTTAACATGAATATTTGTGGTGGCTAGGTACAATCATACTGAGGTGGCATCATTTGCCATGGGAACCTGGATGGAAAGGGTTGCCGTCTCTCCATAAGCACAAGGTATAAGTGGGAATCTGTGTATTTGTGATGGTTGGATACAACTATACGGGTGTGTTATCTTTTGCCATGGGCCCTCGCATACAAAGGGTTTTCGTTTCTTTATTTAGCAAATGGAATAGGTAGGAATTTGTCTATAAATTTTTAACATGGTTATTGGTGATGGCTGGGTACATTTATACGGGGGTGGCATCATTTGCCATGGGCACTAGGAAAGAAGGGGTCTCCGTCTCTTTATAAGCACAAGGAATGGGTAGGACCTTGTGTATAAATTTTTAGCATGGTTATTTGTGATGGCTGGGTAAAACTATAGGGGGGTGGCATCATTTGCCATGGGCACTTTGATAGAAGGGTTTTCCGTCTCTCTATAAGCACAAGGAATAGCTAGGATTTTGTGTATAAATTTTTTAACATGGATATTTGTTATGGCTGGGTACAACTTCCTAGGTGGCATCATTTGCCATGGGCACTTGGATAGAAGGGGTTTCCTTCTCTCTATAAGCACAAGGAATAGGTAGGATTTTAATATGGTTATTTCTTGTGGCTGGGTAAAACCATACGAAGGTGGCATCTTTTGCCACGACCACTGGGATAGAAGGTGTATTTATAAAGAGGAAACGAGGCTCACTGATTCTTAAATAGGCCTCCTCTGTCTTTCAGTGCAAGGAAGGATGAAGGTGTGTGGCTGCTAGATGAAAGTGAACTACAACATGTCAAAGAACAAAGCTTCCTTGCCTTCATGTTATGTGGTGTGGTACCAAAAATGATTTAATTTGTTAAACCCCTAAGCAACTCTTGTATCGCTAAATCTTTTTAAAATTGAAAATATTGAATACCCATAAAAGTCCATTCCACCTTTTGAAGCTTCTAGCTTGCGTTATTCCACTTTTTCCAAACTCAGAGCAAAAAGATGTTCAAATTTTTGCCCTCCTGCAAAGTGTTGAAAAAATTGTTTGTAAAAATAATTTTTTTTAGGGAGGCTTAAGCATAAGGTAAAATTTTTCTTGAAAATCTGACAAACTGCTAAGGTTTCTAAAATTTTCCAACCAATTCGATGCTTTTTAAGGGGCTAAGCCCACTGTCCTCCCCAGCCAGACGAGCGAACCACGATACTAATAGATAGTGAAGTGTTATAAAATATCGAAGTAAAATCAATTTCAAGATTCACCTGTTTTAATTGTTCTGCAAAATTTTGAACATCGTTGGTACGGCATTCAATTTCAACTTTAAATTATTTGCTGATCAGTCAATCATTTCGTCCATGAAGTGGTCGGAGCAAATTCTGGAATTCTTGCTATGAATCCAGTTCTCGCGGCGCATACATTGTACATCTCTGCATTTTACCACAATCAATTGGAAACCTGAGAAATAAAAAACATCATTAATATACAATTTTTTGGAAGTCAAACTTTGGATAGATTTGGATATAATGAAACAAAGAGACAAATTCCTCTCGACCTTCGCCAAATGAAACGGGCCTAAAATACACAAACTGAAATGATAACTTACTAGTGAGAGGTTCAGCGGAATTTGAATTTTATTTCGGATTCTTCATTTGAACTTTCATCACCATCACTTCTGATTGATTGGGCGTCTATTTTCGGCTTTCTTCTCTTATTAAAACCAAAAGCGCATCGTTGTGTTCCACCATTAGCTGTCCATAACAGATTTGGATTTCCCGCGAAAATTGGGTGGCCTTTGTTATGTCGCCTAAAAGAGGTTACTCGATCCATCTAAAAGAGGTTGCTCGATCCAGTCTTTTTTTCTGATTATTGATTGGATTTCTAACTCCGCTTTGTTCCTAAAAATTCCATCAACATTACTAAGAAAAACAGCTACAGTTTTTCAAGTCACTGAGTGTGGATAACGGTAAGGCAAAGTTCTTTTTCATTTTATTGTAGCTTTCGTCATTTAAATACGCAAGAAAGGGTCTTCTCTTTAAAAGCACTGCAATTGATTTTAGGCCGACTTTTTTGCGATCAGGAAGTTATAACTTTTGACCCTCCACCTCTGTTTTGGTCTGTATGATGCGTTTCATTTCTTAGCTCGTACGTGCAAAAAAATTAAATAAAGGATGTCTATTTTAGTGTCAGATTTGCAATTTTATTTCCTTAACCTGTCTTCATGTCTTGAACTGCCCAGTAACTTTCGGCACATGTAACTTCGGTTGAATCCATGGAACTTTTGCCGGAGATACATTGAATCATACTACTTTTTAAAATCTAGATCTTTCGGAGGAGCTTGGTGGATTCAACCCTGCTCACGAAAGTTAACTTAAGTTAATTTCTAGTTATCTTTTCTTGGTCAAATTATTAAAGAAAGATAGGCCTAATCAATCATATTCAAAGTATGCGAAAAGACCACAGAAGGTAGGACCATGGCAACATCATGTTTTATTACCATGGTTTACCATTGTGAGACACAGAAATAACCCTCTACAACCATGGTGGAAACTATAATAAATTCTCTCAAGACATAATATGCTTGTTGAAAAGTGCACAAAAACATGTACCAGTTAAAAAGTGCTCATAAAAGAATCAGAAATAAAAGCAAAACCTTGGATCAACAGCAGAATACAAAAAATGATGCGAATTCATGATCATATGTTTAGAAAAATGAAAAGAAATAGATCGGATCTTCAACTCTACAGAAAATTCAGAAATCGGGTAACAAATGAGATAAAGAAAAGCAAGCTAAACTATCTCCACGCCCATTTCTCTACGAAATGTCAAAATATGAGAAAACTGTGGGTAAGCATAAAATCAATTATCCATATCCCTTCAAGTATTGGCAAAATCAAGGATAAAGAAGAAATAATTTCAGAAACAACTAAAATTTCTAATATCTTTAACAAGTACTTTGTTAATGTTGCTGAGAATATTACCAATACTTTGCTAAAAAGATCTGAGTCACCTATTGAATATCTTGAAAATAAAAAACTTAAACTCAATCTTCCTCTCTCCAGTCGATCACATAGAAGTTGAGAATGAAATTTTTAGATTTGACTCATCAAAGTCTTCTGGGCCACACAGTATCCCAATCAATCTATTGAAAATTCTAGGACCCTATATTTCGAATTCCTTAGCTACACTCATCAATCAGTCGTTCTTCAAAGGAATTTTTCCAAATGAATTAAAGGACATCTGTCGTGAACATGATTGGCTAATGCAATACAATTATCTCTTTTGTTTAATACAAAGCATGGAATCGAGGGTGAATTTTTACGGCAATAAAAATTAATTTAGAAGAAATGAATAGTCACAAAACAATGGAATTCCACTTCAAAGGCTTTTGTTTTATTAGCCAACTGCTAATGCGACATATGCCCTTAAAAGTAGCCAAAATAATTCCTGTTTTTAAAAAGGGGGACACCAAAACTAAGTCAAACTATAGGCCTATATCGATGTTGCCAGTCTTCAGCTTATATGAAAAATTAATGTACAAACAACTCTATTCGTTTATTACTCATAACAAAGTAATCTACCCTTTACAATTTGGTTTTCAGGAAAATCATTCAATTGACCATGCTTTGATTAGTATGACTGAAGCAATAAGAAACAAACTTGGATGTGGATGTGGAATATTCATTGACCTTCAAAAAGCCTTTGATACTGTTAAGCACGATATTTTGATTAACAAACTTGAACATTATGGTATCAGAGGAGAGGCCCTGGCTTGGTTTCGGTCCTACCTTTCAGAAAGACATCAATTTGTTTCAGTCAATGGCGTAAATTCTGAATTACTAAAAATCACATCCGACATCCTAATTAAAATTGGTGAACAACATATCACCAGGGTAAATCATGTAAGATTTTTGGAACTTCTTCTGGATGAACATCTTAGTTGGAAAGTTCATCTAAATGAACTCTCCAAAAACTGTTTTTTCAAAAGCTGTACTCACGAGATGAAAGACATTTTTCTCCCACACTCAACTTATCTCAAATGTCAATGCAAATTCTTTTACTTTTTTCTATAATGGACATTTGTGATAAATGCTTGTAACCAAGGTTTTAGCTAATTTGCTTACTTTTTGGCATCTTCTGTTTTGTCTGAAAAGACAATAAAAAATTATCTTGAATGTGCTTAACAAATAGTAGTGTGAAGCTGACTCCACTGTGAGCAGACGTCTTTTTCGTTACCTGTTATTGATGTTTTGAAATTTTGCTTTGCAGGCAATGTCATGGCAACAATATCACCAAGTGCATGAGCATTATCGTCATACGAAATCTCTACATCAACTGAATCTGCGCAACCATGGAACATTCGTCTACTATGGTGACATCCCCTGTAGAAAAAAGCTCTCTTTCTAGCGACCCAACCGCATCAGGGACTTCATCTATTGAACAAACACCATCAAGTGATGACGTCATAGGTATCCTACATATGAGACTTCTGATTGTCTATTTTAAATTTTTTTTATTCTCTTTGCCAATGTGAGCTAATCATGAAGTCCCTTAATAGCACAAACACAGCTAAAAATGTCGAGAAATGGGTAAGATCTGACCAATGAAAAATTTGGAAGTTTGGCAAAGGATTGCTGCCATTTAGTTAAAGAACAGAGACCAAATTTGATTGATTGGATGTTGATATTGTGTAACCGCAAATTTTTATCATTTTTATTCGAAACCTTTTGTAGAAGACCAATCAATCAGGCCTTGGCTATGAACCTTTAGGTATAGCTTTAATTGATACAAACCCCACTTTATAATCAATGGCAATTTATAATACGTAATTTATAATTTTGTAAAATAATCACCAGTATATTCTTATAGCTTCTAAGTAAAATTCCCAAATTAAAAGAGCATTTCCAAGTGAAATAAGGTGAATTGCTGCCCAGAAGCACTGACTGCCTGTACCTAGGAACTGATTGACTATTCATCTACTTTTGCTGCTTCGCAGGGCGAGCTGAGAGAAGTGTGCCTGTACAGATATATGACATACAACAACATCCCAGAAAATGTTAATTCCTTTGTGAGGTTTTTTGTGCTAGAGGCCATCAAAGGTTTAAAGACAAGAGAATCCTCTAAACTGGTTGTTCACTGCAGGTGAGCTTTTTGCTGCCTTGAATTTTGCCTTCATATTTTGCCTTGACTTTTTGCCTTCACATTTTGCCTTGACTTTTTGCCTTGACTTTTGCCTTGACTTTTTGCTTTGACATTTTTCCTTGACTTTTTGCCTTGACTTTTGCCTTGACTTTTTGCCTTGACTTTTTGCTTTGACATTTTGCCTTGACTTTTTGTCTTCACTTTTTGCCAACATTTTTTGCCTTCACTTTTTGCATTGTGGATATACCCAGTTGTGGATGGAAACAGGTCAGTTAGTAACGGAACACATGACTGGAAATGTTTCCCAGTCAGTGCTGCTTCCCTATTGAAAATATTACCAGCTGGGTCCAAGAGAAAACTAGCTCCTTTTTCCTGCATATTGGCTGAGTTTTCATTTTTTATTTTTGTAATTCGTTTTAAAACTGCTAGATGGAGAAAAAGATCTGTCAATGATTCAAAAAAAGTCGTCATTGCAGTTCCCATTTTAAATCTCTATAAGGCAATAAGTCTATAAATGCTTTTCAGGTTCACAGAACCTAGTTTGTACATGATATTTGCTGAAAAAGTTATAACAGATTTGACATCTCACATGAACTATCAGCTTTGCAGAATTGTCTTTGAGTTTCTGTTTAAAATGAAATTTGTGTGGCTCGGATAGGATCAATTGTATTCATGCTCTGCGCAGCAGAAAGAGCAACTGTATCAGTGAAGCTTGCATATCATCTTTCGGAATATAGTTCATATGCTTAATTTACAGGGCGTTATTTGTGACAAATTGTCTCCTGTGAATTCTGTTTTCTTGGGTCCCAAACTTTTGCATTACATTTTAACCAAGCTGTTTTTATTTTTCAGTGATGGAATCGGCATGTCAGCTGTTTTGGTTGCTATTGCCAACGGCATTGAGAGTTTGGCAAAACGAGGCTCTGTTGATGTTTACAACATCGTGAAAGTGTTGCGCAATGACAGAGCTGGTGCTGTGGAGCAGTTTGATCAGTACCGCTTTATATACGAGGTAGGCCCTTTTGCTAGTAGTAACCCATTCAATCTCAGTTTTCTGCACAACTTATCCTTAATTCTACAGGGTCGACAGTGTTGTCAAGGTTTGAGGGCATGATTTCCCTAGGCATGTATTCAGGGGGGTAACTTAGCTTTGTGTGGTGCACGATTTGTAAAGAAAGGATGACAAACAATTGACGGGGTGAAAATCCATTTTTTTTGGGGGGGAGGGGATTTCACACTACGATTCTCTTTGCCTGGGGGCTCATTTATTATGGACATTTTCAGACAACTAGCATCATCGTCAACCATCAAGTGAATGGTGTTTTTATGGAGTTAACAAACCTCGTATATTAACATGCAATTGGGGTGGGGGCTTATGCGAGAACAGGGGCAGTTTTCGTGTTCAAAGTATCCTTTGAGGGTGACTTTATGAAAAAGACCCGCACCAAGGTTGTCTTTGTAGCTGGGCCGTCATGTGTACGGGACAATGCAGGCTGGTCAAGCTACCGATACAGCTCGGTTACCAGGCTGAAGACCCTTAAATTTATTTCAAATTTGTGAAAATCCAACAACGCAATCAAGTAAATGAGAACATATTAGCCTTCTTTTTAAAATTATAGCTCAAAATTCAAGTTCACGCTAAAATTCAATCCAAAAGTTTATGACCATGTTTGATTTTACCAAAATCAGTACCCAAAAATTTATTTTCTACTTGGAAAAGGCACCCCCAAAGAATGGCTCGTCTCGTACCGATGAGTGTAGAAGTTACGCCCCCTCCCCTCCCCGGGGGTATCTAGAGGCAGGGCCGCCGAGAGGTTAGGGAGGCTATGGGGGAAAACGGAAAATTTTTTGCAACCATGCCCTTTAGATTAGCTAAAATTTATTGATTTTTGAGCAATCGTTTAAAAGACTTAACTATTTTAGGCATAATTATGTTACTTTAAATTAATTCGATTTCAAAACGGATTCCATTACTATATGAACCCCCTTAGACCTCAAGGCCTTAGGCAGTTTGTCCCCTTGCTTCCTTTCTTTCAGCGGCCCTGTTTAATGGTCATAGAAGCTGTTTGTTACAAGTACCTTCAATCCTCCAATGAACGCCCCCCTTCTTTTGAACGCCCCCTCTAATAAACGCACCTTCCCAAAAGGGTGATTTTGTACCTGTTATTTGATTACAGTACTTGTGTGTAGCATAATGAAAGATATTTTCTAATTTTTGAAATAAACGCCTCCCTTTTATAAATGCCTCCCTCTAATAAACGCCCACATCAACAGTCAAAAATTATATAAACGCCCAGGACGTTCATTGGAGGATTTAAAGGTCATATGAACCGAAAAACGATTTTCACATATTTGGTAGAGCTTTTTTCGCTTGTCAAGACGCCGTTCCCCGTTTCTTTCTACGACTTGAAATTTTTTAGATATGGCGCTCGAAAGCCCGAAAAAGTGACCTTCAAAAGCGATGCCACTCGAACGCGGTCAGATCGACGCTATGACGTAATAGGTTTGACACGTCCCTTCGATAGCCATTGGAACCTTTGTCAGTGATGTTGATAAAAAAATCTTGCAAAACAAGATAAAAGCACGAAACTTTGTCAGAATACAGAGTTTGACACGCTGAAAATGATAGGATGCATATCTTATCTGGCAAATGCCCCCTTGTGCTATTTTTAAACTGGGGTACTCGATTCCAGGCCTTTGAAGGGGTTTTTTCCATAAATCAGTTGAAGATCGCGATAGAAGCATTAAACTTTGTGAAAGTACATAGTTTGATACGCTGAAAAAGATAGTATGCAGACCCAAGGTGGCAAATTACCCCTTGTGCTATTTTTAGAATGGGGTACTCGATTCCAGGCTTTTGAGGATATTTTCCCAAAAATCAGTTTCAAAACACAATTAAAGTAAGAATCGTGCTGCAAGTACATGACTTGATCGCTGAAGATGGGATACTGCCCCCAACTGTCAAGTACCCCTTGAGCTATTTTTAGACGAGGGTACCTGTTCCCAGGCCTTTGAGGATTTTTTTCAAAAATCAGTTGCAAAATACAAGGAAGTCCAAGGAATTTGAAGGGTTTTCCCATAAATCAGTCATGGGACTTTGCAAAAGTACGTAAAACAAGATTGTTCTAGAAAACTATATGCTCATTGTGCAGCAAAATTATTTTGTAAGGATAATCAAATTGTAGTTATGACATGGTAATTTGCATTGAGAAAATTTAAAAAAGGCTTTAGGAAAATAAATCTCAAGTACATAAAAAAAATTCTATGCATTTCAAGTTCATATCAAATACATTTTAGGTAGGATTCCAAGCATTGAGCTGGGCCCGGCCTTGCTTTCGGCGGCCCTGGGGAAATGCTCGATGTTCGTTCAGTTCCTTGTGACAACACTTCCTGATTCAACAGCAAGTGTTGATTTTATTCCACAAGTGAGAGCAGTTCGTACTTCGTACTGCCTTCGAGTCTTGTCCTTGAATAATAGCCGGCAAGGAGGAGAACTTCTTTGTGAACAAGATCCTTGAAGGGGTTTTATTCTGTTACACCGTTATTCATGCCTGTTTGTTAAACCATAGTTGATAAAAGGAATGGTTTGGAAACAAGGAAGATTGCGCAATATGTTATTGTTCTGAATTTCTTTGATCACATGACCAAACAACATCCAAGGCACTGTTCTAGCATGGCGGACGGCCGATACAGAACAAAATCATTATGGTAAACTGTGTTTTTAACGGATGTCATACTAATCGGGCAAATAAATCTGGAAAGTACGATAACATTTCAATCTTCAAGATCACCGCGCGTTCTGGTAAATTTTATTTAGACTGGAAAAGAGATATCCTCAACATAATCACAAAGTATCGGCAGGTGGATGCTGATTTTTCCCAACAAATCGAGAGAGGACAAATATATGTTTGTGAAAATCATTATGAGCCTGAAGACATTGAAATAACAGGTAAGTTTATAGTTTTTATAGCTTTGTTTTATCTGTATTATTGTACAAGAAAAGGCTAAAAGAATGATTCTAAAATTTTTTTCTAGTATTTCCAAACGGAAGATATCCGAAAAGGAGCCCTACCAAAAAGGAATTTACCAATAAAGAGTCATCCTTCTAGAGAGATTGTTGCCCGGAGACACATAGATATTGTAAAAGAAAGAATAACTGAAGATTCTCAATGTGCTTATAAGGACTTCACAAGCTTGCAGAATGCACTTCAAAGAATCAATTTGGAAGGATGGTCTGTTACATATGGTGACAATTCAATTCAAATTAATTTGAATGATCAAACTAATGCCTTGCCAAAGTACTGCTTGATCATTGAGAAAAATTTGAGATTTACAATTGCAGTTTTCAATTGGAAATTACCAGAAGGCAGTCATTTATATCAAGATGCACAAAGATCATTGAAGTATTTGAAGTTGTCAAAACTTCTTTCAAAGATATCAGGTGCTGTGATATGCACTGGTGTGACAAATGCAGATGCAAAGACAAGTGCTTCTCTCCATGTAGTTCCATCAATCTTAGATGTAACGAATGATATTCCTTTTCAGTATACCCAGTACTACAGGGCACCTACTTGCTATGTCCTCCTGGAACCAGGCACAAGTGAAAGTTGTAATGATTGCAAGAAATTTGAAGGAAGGGCCATACAAGCTTACAAGGTAAAGACATCACTGCAAGAGACAGCTGTAAAGAGTAGAGCACCTTTAACAGCAACAAGTCATTCAAGACTAAAGGCCACAGTGTTTAGTGAAAGAATGAAATGTGGACTTTTGGAGGAAAAATTGAGAGAGATGGATAAAGAAATTCAGTCATCATCTGTTCAGCTAGATGATGAGTTGACCACCGATATCAATAAGATAATGTCAGAAAATCTTGTGAGTTCCTCACCCTTTATGACATTATTTTGGCAGGAACAAGTCAAGTATTTTAAGCAAGGGTCTAGACGGTTTCATCCAATGATTATTCGATTTTGTCTATCAGTTGCTGCAAAATCAGGTTCCGCTTATGATGAGCTGAGAAATTCAGGGATTCTCTGTCTACCAAGTCGAAGAACTTTAAGAGACTATCGTAATGCTATTCGACCTCAGGTTGGATTCAATTCAGGTGTCATCAATGAACTTAGGGAGGCTGTTGAAAGCTTTAAAGGTCACCAGAAATTTGTTTGTGTTTCATTTGATGAAATGAAGATATCGGAAGGCTTGGTATTTGATAAATATACAGGTGAACTAATTGGCTTCACAGACTTAGGAGATGGTGAAATAAATGAAGCCTCCAGAAAGAGAAGACCCTTGCAACGCATGCACTTTTATTTTTTGTCAGAGGAATTTCATCTGACCTGAAGTTCCTATTAGCCTATTTTGCAACAGATGGTATCACAAGTAGCCAAATTCTTCCTCTGTTTTGGAGATGCATTGCCATTTTAGAGTTAAACGTCAAATTATGTGTCATTGCCACAATATGTGATGGAGCAACACCCAATCGTAAGTTCTTCAAGTTACACAAAGGCCTTGATTACTGCACAGATAGTGAAGTGGTTTATCGTACTGTAAACGTTTTTGACCGCAGAAGATTCATCTTTTTCTTCAGTGATCCATGCCACTTGGTCAAAACAGCTCGAAACTGCTTGTTTAACTCTGGTTCAGGTCAAAGTAGTCGCTACATGTGGAACAATGGCAAATACCTAATTTGGAGGCACATCACTGGTGCATTTCAAGCTGACCTAGATCGAGGCCTGAAGCTTCTACCAATGCTAACCACTGATCACATCAAGTTGAACAGTTATTCGAAGATGAAGGTGCGTTTAGCAGCTCAGGTGCTGAGTTCAAGTGTAGCTGCCGTATTAAGATCATTTTACTCTGTAGATACAAGTGCAACAGCTGACTTTTGTGACAACATTGATAAATTTTTTGATTGTCTAAATGTAAGAAGTTGTCATGAGCATGAAAGAAAGAGAAAAAACTTTCTAAAACCCTATGTTTCGATCGATGATGAACGTTTCAAATGGCTCAAAGAAGAATTCCTAGGCTACCTTAAGCAATGGAAAGAGACCATTTCAACTCGCCAAGGTGAATTTTCTGATGCTGCCAAAGAAAAGATGTTTATTTCAAAGCAGACCTATGAGGGACTTCAAATAACTGTCTATTCTGCTGTAGAATGTGTGCAGCAGCTTTTGAGAAGTGGCATGCCTTATGTTTTAACGGAGAGATTTAGCCAAGATGATTGTGAAGAGTATTTTTCCTGTCAAAGAGCCATTGGGAGAAGTAGTGAAAACCCAAATATGCAGCAATTTGGATACAATGCAAATAATATCCGTGTTGGTATGGCTGTTTCAACAGTTACAGGAAATACTAGCGGGAAATACCATGGATTAAAAAAGAAAAAATCATGGTATGAAATAAATGATTCAAAACTTAAGAAGCGAAAGACTAAAGACAATGAAAAGAAATAACAGTCTACTTTTTTTAGTTAACATTGGTTTAAATTTGTGTATTTTGACTGGCAAAATGTAGGGTAAAGCTATCCTTCTAGGGTAAAGATATCTTTCATGTTACTTTGTGAATAAGCCACCCTTTCTAACAATTCTTTAAATCCTTTTTTAAGATACCCTCTGAAAGCTCTTAAATTAAATGAACCTTTACAAGCTTAATGATGACTGATTAATTCAACTGGGACCCCCAAAAAACCCCATTCTGAAGTCGACTTAGATTTTTAGGCATTGGGATGATAGGTTGCATTGCAAAAAAGTTTGAATTTCTCAAACTTACTAGGGAACCACAAAATTTGCAAATCTTTTAACCTAACAATTTGAAGACTTAAAAAACTAGCAAAAATTACACAGTATTACCTTTTAAAAGAACATTAAAAATTTTGTTTGAAACTATAACTATAATTTTGTAAAAAGAATATGTATACAAGGAACACTTTATTTCTTCTTAGATTTAGTATGATCAGTGTTAGTTTGCTTCAGTTCTTTTCTTAAGCTCTTTTTTTTCCCACTTGTTGTTTTGAGTTTTTGTCTGTTTATGATGTCCTTTGCATATGAAAATGACCTTACTCTCAAAAACAAGGTAAACATTTCCTGTAAAATGTTTTTGGCTAGTTCATCATCTTTAGGTTCATAAGCAGGGCAGTCTTCAAGAATACTTGAAAAAAGTTCTCTCACATTTAAGTCATCTAATAACTTATTGGTTATTGCACTAATTGCTATCAATGTTATATTTGCTCCAACAGTTGCTTCTCTAAATTTGCGCTCTGCAGCAAGAAACAAATTGGATACAGGCCTTTTAATGCCCCACAGACCTCCACGATTCACTGCTGATATCAAAAGTTGATCAACGAGATTATCGTCTTTGAAACATATGATGATGGACTTCGTGATTTCGTTTTGTGGAGAATCTGTTTTTATGCTGTAGTATAGTTTTCTCAACACATACCCACCAATGTATTGTATGCACTGTTTATCTCTGTCATTTATTTGTGGCACAGATGGTGCAGGTTGCTTTGAAACAGATTGAAACTCTGTCATTAACCTCTCACAAACAATAATTGCAAGCAAGGGGGCCTCATGTTCTTTTAAAAGTGGGAATAATTCTTTACTCTTGTTTACTACTTCGCTGTAATATTCTGCATAATAGAGTTCTTTGCTCTTTTTATCAACCAGCTTTGACAGAACTTTCTTTATGATATTACAAAATGACTCAGAAATAAAACCATCTTGAAGGGGATATCTCTCTTTACAATAAAGCTCAAACGAAGTATTGACTTCTGTTCCATAACAGCGATCGGCTGCAATTTCTTGACAGGCTAATTCCATAATAGATTTTAGCCTGGACAGTGGGAGGGATAACTTCTCATGTTTGGAGGCCTTGTGTCGCAGCAAACCGCGGACTGTCTTAAATGTTTTATCACAAGACTGACACTTTTCTTCCTTAATATTCATTTCCAGAATCTGAAAATTCAAAATAATGAATAAAATTGAAATAAATATGATTTTCAAAAGCGACAACGTAAGGAAAATATGAAGAACTAAAACCGAACGGGCGAGAGATACACATTGGGCCTAAAACTTCGAAAAATTGAGGTAAAATAGTCACAGACTACAGTACCTTGTCGCCTGCCGTATCAAAATCTTCCTGTACTTCAATTATAGCATCAAGCTCACATATAAAAGCAAAAACCTCATCGTCTCCTACAAATTGAACATCCAAGTCAGCTTCCGCCATTGTTTCACGATTTCACCTTGGACGTTCTTTGGTCACGTGACCAAACTCTCTCGATTTTCAACATAAAACAAAGGCCCCATTGTTTAAGAAGTCAGTTTCCAAACCATTCCTTTTATCAACTATGGTTAAACCATCAGATGTGAGCGTGACCTACGTCTCGTTTATTCCTCGGCTGCAGCAGTACTTCCTTGTCTGATAAGCGATTATGTTGAGCACTTTGTACACGAGCACCTGTGATAGAAAAATATAATCACGATTCAGTCTTTCCCTTTTCCCACCAATTTAATGAAATAGAGTTCGCCAATCTAGTGAAAGCTTACACACAGTAAGGTCTGTTTATCAGGCTAGTATCCCGTTTGCTTTAGGCCAGTAGGCCAGGCTCGTGTCTGTGAGAGTTTCTGCCTTGAAATACTATAAATTGTAAAGATAATGGAAAAATAAAGAATTTAGTTTACCTTTGATTCAAGGCAATATGTCTCACAAACCAAACTCCAAGCTGCGTTGATCAAATTCAATCTTCATTCCCAGGACACAGAAGAGAAAAAGTATTCTGTGCCCAGGATGGTCCTAGTCCTCTCCCTCACATCGTTCGACGAGGATTGATGATTCTTCTTCGGAGGATACCGGTGTTGTGTGCTAGTAAAGCTAGAAAGGCCACCAAATTCAGCCAATGCTCCCTAACTCATTTAATTCATTCGAAGACTGATCCAAATCAACATTACCATACGTCTCCTCTGCAGTTGCTTAATGTTTATGTTTACTACGGCTTCAAGGCCAAGAACATGTCAAACCTATTGCGTCACTTCCTGTCTTCTCGTCCCAGACCCCGGTATCACTTTTGGTCTCCAAAATTGACTTTTAAAGTTGAAATTCTGGTGTCTTACAGGTATCTTTTGAAAATTTAACCAAGATTTTCGCAATCAGCGCCATCAAATTGCGTAAAATGTTCAATAAAAAATTTCGTTTCATATGACCTTTAAGGTAAATGTAGAAAAATTATTGTTAAAGGGCCACTCCAGCCCAAAATTTTTATTTCAGAATACGATGTAATCAGACCTCCTGAAAACGAATCTGTTATTATTTTTTCATATCTCTAACCGTTTTGTAGTTATTAGCGTTTGTAAAATGGTCATTGAGTTGAATTGTTTTCAACCGTGTTATCGGAGATCTTCGGATTGACGTCACAAGCATTTTCGGCCTCGGTAAGTTCGAGGCAAGTATCATCGGCTGTCCAAAGGGTCAACGAGAACCTAGCGAAATGGCAGACAGGGCCTAGCAGACATCTCGTTAAATCTTTGAACTGCTCCAACCACTGATTGGCCATTTTTACAATAGCATGTTAGGAACAATTGGAATCTATTTGATAGGCCTTGGTATTATATCCATAGAAACAGAATCAGCCGCCAAGCAGGCAAGGCGCGGACGCGGAGAAAAGCGAAGCGGTTCAAAAGTAGAAGAATGAGAGAGTGGTGGGGCACATGACCAAAGACCAAGACGTATGAGCCGGGGAATCTGAGGCACGTGCCCCCAATTTACAAATGTTGAAAATTAAACACGCTAGACCTCAATCAAATCTCAATCAACATAAAAAGGAGAAACAAAATTTTGATCATGAAAGAAAATGGGTTAATCCGATACAGCGGCGCCGGAAGCACGGGGGCAGCGGGGGCAGTCTCTCGATTGCTTGGGAGCTGCCGCGCGCATTTAGAGTATCGAGCGTTTGTTTCCTCGTATTGGTACAAGCCTCTCACCCATCAATTCTTTTGTTTTACCACTCGGAGCAGTTCAAAGATTTAACGACATGTCCTAGCAGCGGCATGCTTTTTAGAAGGCCAGACTTTTATCTGGAATCGATATAAAGATAGAAGTATCGTCCATCAGTCTTGATATTCTAATCGAATATGGAAGTTTTTATCGCACGAATCTTTCTGACAGAGAAGTCAAATTGTCAAAGAAGGCCAGCGAGACAGAGACATGAGGATGTTGACAGACTTTCATGGAATGTTGCTCTTGAAGCAATTTGTATTGGCAGGCCAGTTCCCTGATTTTAAAAAGAAGATTCGCGCTTTTTCATCAGCTCTTCCTTTAGTGCAACAGCTAAAAAAACCATCGCGCAATTAATTCGGGAGGAAAGACCAAAACAAAACCAGTATACCGGGAATGAAAGCTGTATGAATTGATACCACATATTCATTAGGATAAAGAGCTTCATATCAACATGACTATGACTTATTAGAAATAAACCAGGACAATCGAGGGCATGGACAAGAAAGTATACAAACTTTCAAGACAAGACTAAAATCCTATCATTAGTCATGAGTGAAACAACTTTTTCAAAAATTATAAATGTGTTTTTATACAAAAAAAGGGATTTGAGATTATAATAATTCAACTTTTTCAATATACTTGTGTAAATATAATTTTTGTTTTTAACCTTTATACTATTACAGGGGCCTTTTCAGCTCCTTTAAGCTGTCAGAATTTCAACCTGCTATATTTATGAATAATAAATACATGTTTGTATTTAAATACTTGGCTACATTGAATTATATATTTAAATATCTATACAATCAGGCCAGTGAACTAGCTAGCAATTTGTAATTTCTATTGCAGATGAGAAATGTTCTTATAAATGTATCATGAAACAATAATCTATCTAATTTCTAGAAATTACCTATATGTTGTTACTAGTTTGAAATAATAGCTGTGGATTTGCAAACTTTATATAGGTATGACCAAATTATATATAAAATTTTGATAATTTTAAAAATAGTCTCCTTTGTAAAAATTTTAATACTGTGTTGAGGTCTTTGTGGAAAAACAGAATAATGTGTTGAGGTCTTTGTGGTAACTCTTGTAGGGAAGAGAGGGGCAAGTTATCACTCCCCCAAAGCCAGTAGCCAGATAAAAGGATGCATGTAATCTCCAACCTTCATCTAGCATTTTTTGCAAGATTCTTTCTGCTGATCCATAAAAGAGTTTGTTACCTTTTTATGCCTAGAATAATAAGGTTGACAGGGATAAATACTAACATACCAGTGAAACTTACTTTAGAGTCATATTAAAACATAAAATGATCAAAGAAATAACTACCTTGGACACTCAGGGGCATTCAGAGTATAGATATTTAAAAGGATCAAAGAGAAATTTAGGGGTGAAAGGGCAACCACTGTTACTATAGCAAATAGCATCTAAGGATATTAATTTGAAGTAACACAAAGATTAATTTAAATGAATAGGCCATGCTTATATAAATCAATGCTAGAATAGCAAAGGTAAATTTAACAAATATAAACAATTCTGCCTTTAAAACATTAGAATGAGGATATTACACATCTTTTTTCCAAAACCAAGGGTGTAAATTCCATGTTTTTTCTTTGGGGTAGTAGATCTTTTGCCCTGTATATTGATCTGGCGAAATTTTGAAATTGTGCATCAATTTTATGATGAAATAGGCAGAACTCCAAAATTGAAGGCAGAACATGGTAAAACATGAAGAAAAAGGGTTCAGGGAAACATCAGACAAACCCTAGGAAATTTTACACATCTATACCTCGGGCAAAGGTGTAGTGCACAGATCATTGGCAGGGATGTAGTGCTAGGAGGCTCAGGCCCCCTTGTTTGTACAAAAAAGTAGCAAACTTCTACTTTTGGTACTATTTTATGTGACATTTTGCTTGAGAGCCCCTGTTGTACTTGTAATATAACCACATTTCTGACCATATGGGGGGCAGTTCACAAGACTGGCTGTTAAAAAACTTATATTTAGAGGACGAAGTTTCTCTCAAAGCCCGGCAAATTGCGTTGCTTAGGGGGTGCGTGTCACACCTTCCCCAGACCCCCTCCAAACCTCTACACCCTGCAGTTTCGCCAAACGTTCAACATAGTAAAATGATAAGGATGAATTGTGACTTACGGGGAAGTTTCCATCTTGTGAATTGGGTTCTTCTTCTAATGCGTTAAGACATCAATTATTATTCAGCTCCCTGGAAATCCCTGAGATGACACGACGATAAGAAATGCCTTCGGTCAGAAATCCATTCACATCTGAAAATTCGTGAAGCATTCCATTTTGAAAAGCTTGCTGCGTTGCCAAGATGAGGATATGCGTTCAGGTTGAAGCTTCCATCTTTGATTTGTCGAATTACTAGTCCATGTTGGCTGGAAGCCTCCGCTGAACATTAATCGCAATGAAGGAAAATAAATAAAACGACAACCGAGATTCCGACACGAATCGCCTCTTCCGAGCCTCTACCGAGTCGTGCGAATTTCAGTGCGAACGTATAACAATAGCTCCGAATGTTGAAACAATAGCCCTTTCACACGTCACAAAGTGCTTTTTCCGAAAAAAATTTTGTCGTATTTTTACGGTGATTCTCAACTTTAAGCGTCTATATCTGGAAAACGAGTTAAGCTTTTCGAAAAAAAAATTCACGATAGCTTTTTTTTCTCGACTAACTACAAATTTATGCAAAAATCTCAGAAAATTTTTTTGGGCTGGAGTGGCCCTTTAAAAAGTGAAGTATTAAGTTAAGGTTGCCTTATTTGAAAGTTAGCGGAAACATTCGTCTTTAAAAAAGGGAAAAAATAGTTTTCGTAAAAAACAAAACAGGAATAAGTAAAAAAAAACAAAACAGGTCTTTTGCAAAAATTACTTTCTTATGACAAAAAAGACGAGTGTAAGCCGACCAAAAAATAAATGAATATAAAAACAGGAATTAGTCAGGTACCTTCACGGTCCGATTCAAGGTGACAGCTGGCAATAGTGCATTCACTTGTCAACTCGCGCGTATCGACAAATGATGCACTATTGCTACCCGGCCACAGGGAATCGGACTCGGTTTCGAGGAGCGGACTCGAACCAGTACCTTCCATGGTCCTGGCTTCCAGAAGCTGGATTACAAATGCGCGCCACGGCATTCAGCCACTTGTGGGCAGAAAAAGAAGAACTACATTTACATTTCCAGATTGTCCAACTTTCTCGGGGGGGGGGGGGGGGGCTAGGTTTGGTTTTAATCAAAGGTTTTCGAACTTGTAGAAGGGAGATGAAAAAGTAGGGGGCTTGATAGAAGGGGGTGGGGAAGTTTCAATGTGAGTAAGCTATTCATTGAGTGGTTTATTAACAATGGCAACGATGCTCTTCTTATGGTTTATTTATATTTCTGTTATTGAAACCTGAATAACTCGATGATCTGAATTTCTGAATAGCTTATTCTATCAGAAGAACGTCATGTTGATCTGAGTCAATACATAGAGCAGGAACATCCTCAAGACTGATTTCACCTTCCGAAATTGATAGACCACTGTTGGAAAGACTCTGAGCTGGACAAAAAGCGACCCACGTTAATGCACATGAAATAAGAAATAGAAGATACGGTAAACTTCTGCTTACCCGAACCCCCAAGGGACCAATGAAATGGTTCTAGATAGCGAATGTTCGAGTTATCGGGGAATTTTTATACAAAGTTATTTGGCAAGGGGGATGCAATATCGTTTCGACATAGAAGATGTTTGAGATCGGCGTTTCGAGTTATCGGTAGTTAACTGTATTAAAAAAATTTTATTTGTGGCTTAATGTTTGCTTATTTTTCCAACGCTTCTGGTATTCTACCTTTGGGGGGAGGGGGCTAGAAAGGTAGGGTGGCTAACAGGTGAGATTGGCTTATGGAAAAAATATATGATCTGAGGGACGGGTCTATAGGAAAGGGGGCTGAATCGAGCTTTTACGAAATTTGTTATCAATTAAACAAATCAAAACAGGTGAGCAGCAAATGAACTTTTTGACATTTTAAGTTTCTGTTTGGATGTTTCCGTTGATTGAACAGGGAAATGGAATATACTTGGGAGGAGGTGTTTATTTTTGACGAAAAATATTTAGCGAGATTGCAGAAAGAATTCGAGAAAGAGGAACTCCAAGAATGGAAACTGGAATAAGGAGTAGAAGAATTTAGAAATTTGGCATAACAATTGATAAAAACCTTAATCCCTTTGATTTTCGTCCTGCTTCGGTCGCCTACCGGAATGATCCCTTCTGTAATAAACTGTCCCCTTTTGCTCTGGTTTATTTCTTACATCCCTCCTGATCGGATTGTATCTAATTTTTTTCTTTTCATAATTTTTCTCTTTACATTTCTATTGACTCTTTTTTGTTTATTACGGCCCATCCTCATCCAGACTAGAAGAACAACAGCGGCCCCCAGCTAACCTGAGCTTGGACTTTTTGTTTTATACTAAGTTGCTGGGATTCTTTGGGTAAACTTTGTCAGGCCAAAAAGCTCACTTGTCCATTCATCCTAGGCCTTGCAAGAATACTTGGTGCAGATGCGGGATAGTCAACAGGAGTACATCAATAATTCCGTAAGTATCTTTTGTGGCCGGTAGCGTTAATCGTTACCATAGAAACTGTCACTGCAAATGTATGATCATTTCAAGCCAGAAAGAAATCCCCATTCAACCACAGATTCAACGAAACCGATAATTTTGACGTAGCAACGTCGTCAAATCGATTCGTCTTCGTTCGGTTTTTTATTTCAAATATTTGTATTTTAAAATTCTTTATACAGGGATTCAATTCAGTTTGAATAACCAGTTTACATTTGAACATGAAAAGTAAAATCTTATTGGATAAAATGAAAAAACCTTATTGGAAAAGTAAGTAGGCCAAAATCCCGACTCGTACAAAATTTTCCTTTACAGAACCCTTATTAAAAACCAACCCTTCACAACAACAACCCTTGCATTTTCCATACTTTACAATCATCAATCTAAAGAAAGATACAATACAAAATGTATGGAAATTGTATTATGCCTCCCTTGCATATTCTCAATAATTTCTTTTAGCTTAAAATTGAATGACTGGGCAAAACTGGCCATTCAGTGTCCGAACCTAGTTCCCAATGTCAGCCAGATCACACCTTTGTTTAACGTAAGGCCCAACTATGAATATCCGTAAGGCCCAACTATGAATATCCGTAAGGCCCAATTATGAATATACGTAAGGCCCAACTATGAATATCCGTAAGGCCCAACTATGAATATCCATAAGGCCCAACTATGAATATACGTAAGGCCCAACTATGAATATCCGTGAGGCCCAGCTATGAATATACGTAAGGCCCAATTATGAATATCCGTAAAGCCCAACTATGAATATCCGTAAGGCCCAAATATAAATATACGTAAGGCCCAACTATGAATATCCGTAAGGCCCAACTATGAATATCTGTAAGGCCCAACTATGAATATACGTAAGGCCCAAATATGAATATACGTAAGGCCCAACTATGAATATACGTAAGGCCCAAATATGAATATCCGTAAGGCCCAACTATGAATATCCGTAAGGCCCAACTATGAATATCCGTAAGGCCCAACTATGAATATACGTAAGGCCCAAATATGAATATACGTAAGGCCCAACTATGAATATCCGTAAGGCCCAACTATGAATATCCGTAAGGCCCAACTATGAATATACGTAAGGCCCAACTATGAATATCCGTAAGGCCCAACTATGAATATCCGTAAGGCCCAACTATGAATATCCGTAAGGCCCAACTATGAATATCCGTAAGGCCCAACTATGAATATCCGTAAGGCCCAACTATGAATATCCGTAAGGCCCAACTATGAATATACGTAAGGCCCAAATATGAATATCCGTAAGGCCCAACTATGAATATCCGTAAGGCCCAACTATGAATATCCGTAAGGCCCAATTATGAATATCCGTAAGGCCCAACTATGAATATCCGTAAGGCCCAACTATGAATATACGTAAGGACCAACTATGAATATCCGTAAGGCCCAAATATGAATATCCGTAAGGCCCAACTATGAATATCCGTAAGGCCCAACTATGAATATCCGTAAGGCCCAACTATGAATATCCGTAAGGCCCAAATATGAATATCCGTAAGGCCCAAACATGAATATACGTAAGACCCAAATATGAATATACGTAAGGCCCAACTATGAATATCCGTAAGGCCCAAATATGAATATCCGTAAGGCCCAACTATGAATATCCGTAAGGCCCAACTATGAATATCCGTAAGGCCCAACTATGAATATCCGTAAGGCCCAACTATGAATATCCGTAAGGCCCAAATATGAATATCCGTAAGGCCCAATTATGAATATCCGTAGGAGCAGAGAGAGGATATATCATATGAGCCAAATCATACATTTTCTGCTTCTCTGTTTTGCAGTTTTTGTATTTTCTTTAATTTTGCTACCCCGTGGCAACCCAATACTGTACAACAGTAATTCTGGCGTTGTTACAAAACGATAACGCAAATATGACATTTACAGTGCAACGTTTTCATTTACGTATCGTTTCGCATTTTTCACAAGACTCGAACCACGTGATGGTTTTTCTTGATGTATTTGAATCAGCCACTCATATTACCTGCAAAGTGAACGCCCTTTAATTCCAATCATTAGCTAGTTACGCAATTTAGAGACAGAGGCCCTTTCTCTTATAACCTCTCCTCCGGTCCTATTCTGTTTTAAAAATGCTTCTAACCCATCTCCTCCTCTATTCAACCCTTCCCAACAAACATCCCTCCTTTGAGAACATCCATATAAAAAATGTATAAGAGTGTCGACTGACCTTTTTATATGTTGATTTTCAACTATTTTCACGAATTATTTTTATTAATTTTTTCTTTAGGACATCACTTCAAGCATATGAAGACCTTAGTCATGGAGTCATGTGAAGACTCAGTTACTTTTCGCTACTTTACAATTTATATTTATTCATCTAGGCTTAATCTTCCTGTTACTTTTGCAGTTTTTCTAAATTTATTACATCTCCAAATCAACCCTCATTTATTGGAATTGTATGTTATTTAATTGGCAAGGTACAACCATTTTGCTTCCTGAAATCTTTTTAAAGTGATGCCTCCGGATTCCTGCTACTCAAACCCAACCAATTTGGCTTCATGTACCATACTTTCCTATCATATGTCTTCACATAAATTCCCCTTTTTTGCCAGAAGAGCAAGTAGGATTATCTGTGATCACAATTACGAATAGCTTTGCCTCGTGTTGGTCTAACCCATAGATACTTTTGGCCTTATGTTTCTCACCAATCGCTATAGAACTAACATAAGGTTGCATGTTACAGTGCGTGACCTTCACAGCTCTTATGCAAAATCAGAACCATCAAAATAAACAACATCTCAATCCAGCTTGGAGACGTCTATGCCCTCGCCTTGTTTGGTGCCCCTAGCAGTCAATGCCCTCGCCCTATCGCTCACAAGGAACACGCCTAACCTAGAAAATTTGGTATCTTCATCACCATGTAAACAGGCTCGTTATTTATTCTCAAATAACATATTATGTTTGCCAACGATAAATTCAGAGATATCAATTTATCCCAATCACAGAGCACTATCAAAGCCTCTCGCGTTTGGCCAGCAATTTTCTATTTATATTTTATTCCTAAATGGCACATAAGACAGCTTCACCACCTAATGATGTATCTCTACATTTTTATAGCATATTTCCCAACTGAATATTTATTTGATTTTTCACATGATTTAAAATGATAAATTTCTCAAAATGCTTTATGCACTTATTCGTCTTGTTCGCTTTTCCTTTACTGGCCTCTGAACGCAGCCTCGGATATCAGTGCTTTGCCAAGCTCAACGTAGCCTTGTTTTCTGATAATTAGAGAGAACGATGAAAATCGCCAATTTTTGAATTCAAGGGTAAATGTCACGAGGGGCTGCCACATGAAGAAAATAACTGTGGGCGTACTTCCATGCGCATACTTCGATGCGCGTACTTCGATGCGCGTTCGTCGATGCGCGTTAGCTTTTGCCAAATAATTCCGTAATAATTCGATCGAGCTACACTCCTTAAGAAATAAGACCTCTCTTTATTATTGAGCTACCAATAATAAACTTGCCGTAAAATTTTCTATGTGCACGGGCTATTTTGTATCTGTTGTTGTGGCGCATCCCAATGCAAGAATTGTAATGCGTCCCACTGAAAAAATACCACAAACCGCAAAGGTTTTTAAAGAGCTCTATTGTTTTGCAAAATAGATGGGGACCGTGGCCAGGCCCTCCTTGTCGTCGGAGGCCCTGTTCAACACGACACCTGAATCTGATAGCCAAGCTTTCATATGGTGTAACCTACCTCACGACATGGCTAAATGCATGTCAAAATGAACAAGAGCAAACGAGAAGACAACGACAGATGAGTGGGAATGAGCACATCAACATTCATATTCTATTTTCGAAAATTCATGCTTATTACATTGGGCGGGGAATGTGAATATTGCCGTACAGTATGCGTTTTACATTGCACGAGAATTGTTAACAACAAGGTTCCTTTTTACCATTTAAAGGTAAACATTGAATCATCAGAATATTCTCAAAACCTGAAATACATAATACAAATTTAGGGGTAACACCTTCTTTTGCTGCAATTGTCCAACTCGGCAGATAATCAAAGAAGGGCAAGACATCGTCCATTACATTCATAGAGATACGTTTGGCAACACTTGACCTCCTATCCAGCCTCTTTGCACAACCTCGTTTCAATTTATTTTGCTCACTTGCATAGCCTGGCCTCGTCCTTTATAGACTTTATTGACAGTTGAAACGACATGCGCTTTCGGCACATTTATATGCTCGTAAGAGTCTGATTGTGTGGCAAGCTGGAAGGGAAAATTTGTATTGAGTGCATATATGACAAGGTTTTTCAAAACAAATACAGTATGATCCGGTTATAACGTATTTTAAGGAACGTGCGTATTAAGTACGTTATATCCGAAGTACGTTGTAACGAGGGTAAATAAAAGTTGACTAAAACCAAGCACACCTTTTGCCAGGACCAAGCACGCCAGTACGTTATATCCGAAAGTACGTAATAACCGAGTACGTTATAACGGGATTCTACTGTAAGCGATAACTTTATATTGTCGCGAAATTATTCATCACTTTCTAACGGTAAGCCGGCTACGTGGACCGCCCCAAGTTTTCGCGCAAATTAGCCTCGGAATGACAAAATTAAGGCTATCATTAATAAGGAAATTAACCATCACGGACAATGCGCCTGCGCAGAAGTCACGTATTAGGAAATGTAGCTGAGGTATGAAATGTATGAAAGAAGAAACAAAATCAGTCTCGAGATCTACTCGCAATCCTGTGATAGTCCCTAGGAAGGGGGAGCCTTAGGGGAATAGGGGGTTGCGGCAATCAAAACATTCGAACTTTCAAAAAGGTTTGGCTTAGTTAAAACTTAGCGTTACCTGAAGTTAACTCTACCTCGTTTTTGCACCAAGAGACAGCAATTTCATGGTTCCTTATTTAGTTTGTTTGAACGCCAGTGGCACTTACGTCGGTTAATCAGAAAGAGTAAAGCTTTTTAATCGGAATATTATCAAAAAGAAAGATTGCTTACGATGCAAAAGTAACCAAGCATGTAGACAGCCAAAACTGCAGCTATGATGATTATTACCATTTTAGTTGAAATACTTGCAGCAGCCGTTTCTGATGAACCCATTTCTGCGCTTTGTACCTTCAGTGAGATTAAGGATAAGATCTGATTCAGATTGATTCAGAGAGGATGAACTGAAGAAATATGAACAACTTCTTAATCAGGTTTGGTAACTTCATTTGATTGAATGTAAAATGTTCTGTAAATTAGTCATGAATTTGTTTATTGTTCACCTGTTACTCAGCTACGTTGGTTAGGAGATCGACTGTAGCATCATATTGGGCATTAGAGCCCTTGTAACCCAAAGAAATTCATCCCTCGCTACACAAAAGAGGGGTTTGGCCAATGCTGTTACTAATAAAACTTGGGGTTCAGGACTCCGTACATTTCTTTGCCGGTGGCTGAAATTGTGGGGATATGAAGGGAAGGCTATTCAAGATATTTCTAAATTGTCCAGTAAAACACGCTTTTGCCGGTAGATTATGTCATTTGTCAGCAAATTTGCATGTTTGGTGGGCTTTGTCAACTTATCCATAGCATCAATATTTTATCGTTTTGAATCAAATCAGATTTTAGCAGTTAGAAATGATTCGGCTATCCATGACGAAATTGGCCTGCCTTTGTCTTACTAAACTATTTTTGCAATTGGCCTGCCTTGGCAGATTTTTGTTTCCGGAACGCACCCTGGCCCAAATACTAACGTTGATGTGCTTGATATTTTCTTGGAAAATTTTTTGTCCTGGACGCACAACAATAACAAGAACACAGCTGAGAGGGCAACTCTCTCTTACAACAGATATGAACGAAAGTAAGCAAACAAAGATAAAGTCGAAATTTTCGATTTCAATAGTTATATTCCCTATGAAACCCTATGGATTTTAATTACCATCTTCGTTCGACTGATGAAGTTTTCAAGTCTAGTGTTGGATATCTCGAATGAAAATGTAGTTCACAAACTCCTACATTGCATTCTATTGTTGACTCCCGATCTTCCCGACCCGCTTTACCATCCCGGCCTCTTCATGGATACAAAAGAAGAATTTCGATTTCTAGGGAGCCTAAACAATGTTGTTACAAGAACAGTGCCTAATTACTTTTTCTTACAAAAGCTCAACTAGATAATATGTTGGTTGTAAGCTAGAATCACGCCGGTGTTATTCAATAACAATAATAAAAGTATTTAGTTATTTACCTTGAAACTTCCAAATGTCGCACCGTTCTTGAGAAGAAGAGCAATTTTGCGAACTGCATCGATATCGAACGTTCCACTACTTGTGCCTTGCGTATATACTGAGACATGGAGAAGAACTTTCATGCTTTGTTGAGGGACGTTTGAGCAGGCAGCATCGGAATTCAGTAAAGCTATTTGGTTGGCTCGTATTGCAATTTTGATTTCCTTGTTCACAAAATCTGAAAGGGCAGCTTTGAATATCTCTTTCTGCTGACAGAAGGCGCCCCAACTCGTTTCTATCCGCAGTGCTACATAAGTTGTTGCTTGAGTATTCAAGGTGTCCACCAGACCTAAAGAATGATGTAAATTCAAGTGGACGAAAGTACCGATTGTAGTGGCCGCAGATGCTATCGCAAATAGAAAAGTATATAAAGGTGCTCTTCTGCAAAAATAGCTAAGACGTTGTAATTGATTGACTGCGAAAAATTTGCAGTCAGGATCAGTGGCGGACTTAGGGGGGGGGGGAAACTAGGGGCAGTTGCCCCACCTTCGCTGAGTTGAATCAAGTCTGGAGCCCCTTTTTGAAATTGGTTTAGCACAATAATTGTGAAAATTTCCTTTAGAAGGTGAATAAAGAGCCTTCTGTCAGTAGTTAAGGTCTGAAATTGTTGCATATAGCGTAATCTCATCACCAATTTATGAAAATTTTTCAGCGCACCCAACACCAACCCCCCCTCCTTTAAATTTGTTCTGGATCCGCCCCTGCGTCAGGTTGATCATAATCAGTTAGGTCTCTTATGACTTTCGCGCAAATTTGCGTCTCAACATTACTCAATTTGAATTCTATCAGGAAATAAAATCCTTGCTATTTTGGGCTCGGCTGAAACAAAAGCATCCATCGTGATCGGTTCCGGATCGGTCAAAGTCGTTTTTAGCAATTTCGATTTTGTGTGAAAGCACAGATTTGATTAAACCATTTATTGGTACAATCCTCTACTCACTCCCAGCTTAAGAAACCGGATTTATTCATCCTCTTTTCCATTTATGGCTACTATCTTTTTCCATATCAACGCTTTACTTTCAATGGTTGGTTTTCTCAATATATTAATGTGGCGACAATGGGGAGTTTTGTTGCCCTTGACTATGACATCAATAACATCAGAAGCGAGTTTGGGAAACCTTTTCTGACGATAGGCTTGGGCTATCACGGATAAAAGGCCTTGGGCTATTCATTACATATGAGATTTAATATGCCCTTGCCACCCCACCCCAACTTCCCAACTTGCGTCTAATAGCCATTGAAAACTTCAGCATCTAGCCACCATATTGATCATTTTCGATATTTCTAGAATGGGACTTCATGCTTTCAATTACATCTGCTAAGATCTGAAAACCAAAAATTTCATTCATATGTTTAAAAAACTAAAAAAAACAGATTTTATTAACATTGAACTTTATCGTACGATGATAGAAGACAAACCAGGGAAAGCTTTTTCAAATGTTTAATCGCCTACACAACTTTTTTAACATCAATTCTCACAGCTGAAAGGTGTCAAAACCTCAAAAAGGTCAGTTATGTATTTCGTTTTGTATCAAACAACGAACTCTTATAATCGCTTTTTGCACAATTCGTTCATGTCAAAGCTATGTCAAATATTTTCCGCTATTGCAAGATGCTGGTTATTTGCTTCTTTCGAGCAAAACGTCAGAGGTACATCAAAATTGGCTTCCTGGTCTTCTCAATGACATTACAGTGACCACCTTGTGGGTAGTCATTTTGCACCATATCTTAATGTTTTACACTGACTTGCAGGAGGAATAGCGGGGGAACATGCGTTGGTTTGGTTGGGACTGATTCTTTCCATCATGTCTTGCCTGTTTCACATTTTCCGAGCCTATCAAAGACCACGTGTTACACCTTCCCACAACACCTAATTTGCGCCCCTGCTAATGTTACGAAATTTGTAATGCTTTTTTCATTTTCGAGTAACTTAAAATATTTCTTCTTTTTAAAAGAAGACTACGTTTTACAATAGTATTTCATGAAATGTCTAAAGCCATGCTTAAGATTTTTCCCAGGGCACCTTTTAATATTGTAACTCCTGGGCCAGTGGACCCTTTTTCTGGCCCAGTAAGAAGCAAAATTTACCATTTTTGACCAGTGGCGTAGCGTGACTTTTTCAACTGGGTATTCTCTATTAATCAAAAGGGTGGGGTAGGGTGTGGCTCGATGCGGCTTGATGAAAATAGGGGGATAATAGGAAGATTAAAAGAACTAGATATTGACATTTTATCTAATTTTCTTTTTGGTTTGGTTGGCAAGTACTGCACTGTCAGGGCATTGCTATGATAAAAACAATACTTTGCTAAAGGACCCTTCAAATATACTCTTCGAACTCATTCATTGCATCATATTACTATTAACCATTTCATCAAAAGTAATTCAAATCAAAACATATCATTGAAAGCCAGTAAAATTTTACTGGTCGAAATATGTCCCAATAGTTGTTGTTAAATCGTCTAACATTTGCACTGATGTAAAGAGGAAGTAACTGTAAACACCTACTCTTGATACCTTAATACAAAAGGGCTTTCAAAAGTTTCAAAATTATTCTCATAGGGCATTACATGAGTTATAAATGATTTTGTGCTATGCAGTATAGACTTTTTCTTCATGGTCTAATCGTGATATTTTCAATACAAGTTAATATTTGAAAGAATCGAAGGTAATGAGATGAAACTGCACAATAATGCAAATAAATGCGCTCGAATAATGCAAACAAAATAGGCCAACAATATAACTGAATACACCAGGCAACTATAAGGATATTATCCAGGCCTATCTGCATTTACTTTAATTCTATCACATAATACAAACAGAAACATCCCTGATTGGCAAGCAATAACAAATTGGCATTTCAAGAGGGAACAGATCTGAATCAGTGTAGTATTATGTAGCAGCCTACCTTCCCTTTCCACTTTGCTGTTGGTAGATTAAGATTAGGGGTAAAATGAGAGAATGATTATGAAACAGTAATACAGACATTGCAATAGTTTTTTTAATTAAGTCATGTTTACTCTTTTCGATGCAGCTCCATCACTCCAACCGCTCCGACGTCCATTAACTGTTTATATCGATCTCATAACGAGACTATTTTGAACCAACTTTGAGGCTGTACGCTGCATATTTCTCAGCGTACAGAACCATTGTTTTAGCTGATTAACGGCAAATATTATTCATGGAAAGGAGCATTTTGATTGGTTAAAGTACCGTCTAGGGTATTCACTGCGTATTCATGACCGATCTCCATACAACATGAAGTAGCTCAATCTTCAAAATTAGCTTCAAAGATCCCCCAGCTTCTCTATGCTTCGCAGCGTTATTGTTGCCATGAATTTCGTGATATTTTGTACTTGTACAAAATGTAGAATATTGAAGGTAACGAATTCAACCAGAATCAATAGCCCCAAAACATTTTTTACTTATTACAATTGTACGTCGTATTAATATTTTTTCTGAGAAATCTCAGGGTATTCACTGAATACCTTGAATACCCGGACGCTACGCCACTGTTTTTGACCCACTGGTTAGGGTCCTATTCGCAGAATATATTTTTCTCATCAAAATGTAAATATTCACAAGTCAGTCTGTCAGTCATTGTGTCAGTGAGTAAAAGAGCAAGGGCCCTTTGTGTGAAGGCTCTTTATTACTATTGAGCCAGCCCAGCAATTCTTATTATTGAGATAAGACCCTTGAATTTCGAGATTAATGGCGAAGTCGAGATTTTACTCAAGTGCAACTTTTGCATCTGTGGTTTGCCTTTTGATGTTGAAAAACCTTGAGAAAATGGGTTAAGTTAGTGAATTTTTTAGCAGGCGGCCTTGTCAATGCCAAAGAATCCGTAACACG